GTAAAATGAGGATAAGAAAAGTAATAAACTGAATAATTCGATCAATATTAATCTTTTCATATAGTTGTTCCATTGTCAGAGTTCCTAAAATTTCAAACAAAGCCCAATTTTCTTCCAATGTACACATAAAGCCCATTTTTTTTAATGTAGAAAAAAAATCTCTTTTAAATAGATATGTTAATTGACTTACCAAGTCTGGGTAGAACAGTAGAATCCCAGGGAATTTCACAGCCACCTGATGTTCGAGGTGTGAATCCAGAGAGAGAGAGAGAGAGAGGGAGAGAGAGAGAGAGAGAGAGAGAGAGAGAGAGAGAGAGAGAGAGAGAGAGAGGAGAAAGCGTAGCCGCTTGAGCCGAGTCAAGTCTTGGCTTTACAGGCAGGGGCCCTGTTCAGCAGGGTAGGCCTGAGTTGTTTGTAGCAGTTGCAAGTAGCTCCAGCTGCAGGTCAGTCAGGCCTGGGCCCGAGCTAGGCAGCCGGGCTGCCCAGGCCGGAAACCGGACCTGCCGCCAAGTCAAGCCAAGTGGTTTTTAATGAATTCTTGTCACGTTGGGCGCCAAATGTAGATGTATCCAACCTTCTTATTAAATAAGAAACACAGAACCAATGCAAAGAAGAAAGCCAAGAGGTCAGAGCTAAGAGCTAAAACCTTACCCTTCCTCCTGCGGTGGTCCTACCTCTCCGAACCAGAGCTACCCCTGTGTTAAAGTCTTTATACAGAGTTCCTGTCCTGCCTTCTCATTGGTTGTAAACCCAACCACATGACCGCCTTGTCACGGCCTGTCTGTATAGGCCTCCAGGTTTTCCATGATTGGTACTAAGATTAAAGGCATGTGTATCCAATAATGGCTGTATCCCTGAACACACAGAGACTTACCCAGCTCTGCCTACCAAGTGCCGGAATTACAAGCATACGCCACCACTGCCCTGCTTTCCTATGGCTTGCTAATAGCTCTGACCCCCGGGCAACTTTATTTATTAACATACAAATAACATTTTAATGCAAATAAAATATCACCATATATACCTCTCACCCATTGTGGTAGTTTGAATGAAAATGGGCACTGTATACTCATAGGGAGTGGCATTATTTGAAAGAATTAGGGCATGTGGCCTTGTTAGAGTAGGTGTGGTCTCTTGTGTCACTAGGGATGGGCTTTTGGACCCAGGACATCACCATTCCATGATCATGGATCTCCTCATATCTGGCATTGGCCCTGATGGCTTCCACCAGCTTAGCCAGAGCTCCTTTGTCTTTTTAATTAGCAGTAATATACTTGTCCTGTGGACTGGCCAGCTTGCCCTTCCCCATGATGATGTAGTATTGGACTCCCATCTTGAAACATGGAAGGCAGGGAGACCACCATCTTGATGGAGCCTGTCATTACCAACTAGACCTACTTGTTCTCCACCAAGTAGTGATAGTATTGACCTCTGCTTGAAAGACAGGCAGCCATTAGTGAGAATGTACTAAGCCAACAGAGAAACCTTTCCAAGATAAATTATAACTCAGTGTCAAATAAGGGGCATATCATTTTGTAAAACACAGTTTATCTTAATTCACCTGGTAATTTGGCTCCTTAAAATTTTGACTCCTGTAAATTTACTGCCTCCACCAATAAATCAGTCAGTAACCTTCCCATGTGTACTGACAGTCATTATAGGACAGGATGAGTCTTTCACATGACGTTTCCTTGGTTTTCGGGGTCCCAGTTGCTGTTTAATGGACAAAGAAGGAAACAGTCACTCATGGAAGACCTTGAACCATCAAGGTGTCTACAGCAAGGAGAGCCTCTTGCTCCCAACTGTGTATCTGAGACTTTCTCAGAAAGTGGAATCTCCAGAGATGGATGACATTTGTCATACTCTCAGGTGTGGAACAGGTCAAGGAAAGAACAGGACATTGCCTTTTCTGTACCTGTAAAGCAAGTCCTTTCTAATTGCCAGCTTCAGAACTTTGTGACAGTGAAGAGACACAGAGTGGAGACATAGGCAGTGAGACTCAGAACCTAGCTGCTGTTCACTTCCTCATTGTGTGTCCGTTAAAGTAATTCAACTCCAGACTGTACTTCCAGGGATCATTTCTATAGTTTGTTACATACAGTAATTAAATTCCAATTAAGTCTGAAACAGCTTCTAGAAGAAACCTATGTAGTAATTGTGGAGGGAGAGAGAGATGTGCCCCAGGGACGAGATTCCACAGAGGGCTTCCTTCTCCCCTACACTATGAGAGCTGTGAAAACTGAAGCCCAGTGACAGGTTGTTGAAAACAAGACTGAATGCAGACGGTTCAAACGCAGCCCTGGAAGGCTCACCTGGCCAGAGGACTCACCCAGAGCCTGTCTTCCACCTCGGCCGCTGCAGTGAGCACACCTGACCACTCTTGGATGTTCCTCCCTCGGGCTGCAAAATTTCCCTCTGAAGCACATCAGCTCCTTTTTCTTTAAATGTGAGGCATAGGGCTGGGCGAGCCTGATCTCCACAGGTATGTACCACAGGCTGGAAAGATGGTTAAGTGCCAGGCTTCCATGCTTAGGAGCCAGTGCCTTTGGGGAGCTCAAGGGGTTTTTTTTTCCTGTGTTGTCTCTTTCCTTTTGGGGAGAATAAGAATGATACAAGAACATCTCCAGTTCCTAGGGGGAAACAAAACAGAAACCCTTCTCTTCTGTAAGCTCTGCCTTCACCTGTACCATGACTACACCATTATCAGTTTCCACACAGTTTCTTCATGGCATATTTGTCTCTTACATATGGGCAAACTTTGTCTTAACCTATTAAGATCTTAATTCTATCTTCCCCTCGCCCCCTCTGTGTGTGTGTGTGTATGTGTGTGTGAGTGTGTGTGTGTGTGTGTGTGTGTGCACGTGTATTTATCTTAAATGTTTTCTGTACTTATCCTCAAAGACTCTCCTAATCTCAAAGATAACATACTGTATCTCTGAGTCAACTTCATCATTATATACCGGTATGATGGAGAAAACTATTAATAATTAGTGTTGAAAACTATAATTATTCTTTATCTTGGCCAGGTTATGCGTTGATATAATGCATTGTAAATTAGACTTAGTTTTCTGAAGCATCAAGCACTGTTGCCATTGTTAGTTGAGAAAACTGTGTCTGAAGTGGGCAGAGTTGCCTGCCTGAGTTGTTACCTAACTCAATGTACAGCATGCCCTTTTAAGTTGTTTCCAACAATAATTCCCTATTGTCCCTGCTACTGTTCAAATTGTTAGTCAAAAACTACTGGAAGTATTGTAATAGGTGTTTCAACGCTTACCCCAAATCTGATTTGGAACTTTGGGTCTTCACTAACATTAAGGTAGGAATCCTAGGAAGATGGGAAACACTAGACCAAAATCATAAAATCATCATCGTACTTGTTAATGACATGAGGGTATTGGGGAATAGTTTGAAATTTTTTTTTTTAAGATTCTAGATGTCTGACTAAATTTTTAATCAACTCTTGCTTAAATATACCAGTTACAGCTGTTCTTACTGATATGCCTGGTGCTTTAATTGCACTATGGGCTGAGAATTTCAAACCCCAGCATGCTTTATTTAATGCATGACTACAGATTGTAATCTCTAATTTTGCAGTCAAGGAAACTGAGGCTGAAAGACAGTACTTTGTGAGTGTTTCTACTCATGAAGCTGCATCATTCCAGACTTGGGAACAAGCCAATATTCACACAGTTCTTGCTGCCAGTAATCTTGAAGATAAAAGATAAAAGGCAGGCATAGAAGCACACACCTACGAAGTATAAAGATAAATGAATCAAAGATACAGTCACTAGAGATAGGACATAAAACAGGTCTGTAGGGGGAAGTTGGTACCACCCAGGCCCATGGTCTGGACAGATCTCTCCACCCCCAGTCCCACAGCCACTTATAAAATAATTACTCAGAGGCTTATATATTAATTACAAACTGTTTGGTCTTTGGCTCAGCTTCTTACTAGCTAGCTCTTATATCTGAAATTAACTCATTTCTGTTAATCTCTGTGTCGCCACATGTCTCATGACTTTACCTTTGTTACATTAAATCTGGCTTCCCCGCTTCCCGAGGCGGCTCTCAACATCTCCTCCAGCCCTGCCTTTCTTCTCCATGGATCTCTGCTTGGGTTTCCCACCTGCCTCTAGGCTGCTTAGCCATAGAGCAGCTTACTGTTAAGCAATGATAACAACACATATTCACAGCATAAAGAAAGACCATCTCACAGCACAGATCTTTTCTATATTCATTTTAAAAGAAAAACCACATAGTAATAAAGCAAAAGGAATTACAGAAGAAGAAAGGTCTCCCACTCTGAAAGATGCTACTGATGAAGCAGTAAGATAGGGTTGTGTTGCTTCATATTGATTTTTGTTTTGCTTTTGGGGCTGCTCTAGGGTTTTCTTGGGGTGGGGGTTCAGACAAGGTCTTGTTATGTGACTGTGGCTGACCTGAAACTCTCTATGCTCTATGTGTTTGCAGGGAATCCACAGTAATCCTGCCTCACCCTTCTTCAAGAGCTGGGATTAAAGAAGTGAATGACCAGGGTTGACACGATTTTTTTTAAGAAATGTCTGTTGACTAACTGTGCAGGAGAGGAGCTTAAGGGAATGTCCAGGTTGGGAACTGACTCACAGCAGAGGTAACAAAATGAAATAGAAAACACAAGGAGACATTCAGGTGGGTAAGCATTTGAGTTTATTTCAACACATGCTGGGGATCAAAATACATGGAATATGTAAACATCTGAACATGTAATTTAATTTTGCTAATATGGAATTATATTTGCTAATATAAATCTGTTTTGTAATTTCAAATATTTTTATCTTCTCCCACAGATTCCACTTAAGGTATAAGATGTCCCATAAAGACTAACAAGAAAAAAAGTAGATATTTTAGATAGAAAATATGTTCCATTACACATCAGGGCTGTCTTTTATAGACCAGAAAGATATTATGACATTAAATTTATTTTATAGATGCATATCATTTCCTCAAACTCTACTTGGAAGATGCAAAATTTTCTCCCTATGAAGTTAGAAATGGTTTTGAATATTAGTGAAATAACAATATTCCTTCTTATAACTGGATTTGGCACCGTGGTGAATATTTCTGTTTTGGTGAATCACATATGCACTTTTGTGGGTTCTGGAAAGAAATCTATACACCTTATTCTCATGCACTTGGCTTTTACAAATATTATAATGCTTTTCTCCAAGAGCATGCCAACGACAATTGCAGCTTTAGGTCTGAGACACTTCCTAGGTGATGTGGGCTGTCACATTATTGTTTATCTAGAAAGGATGGCCCGGGGCCTCTCCATCTGCACCAGCAGTCTCCTCACTGTGGTCCAGGCCATCATCATCAGTCCCAGAGACTCCTGGTGGGGGAGGCTCAGACTGAGGTCCACATGGTATATGCTTCTCTCCCTGCTCTTCTTTTGGATTCTCAATTCCTTGATCAGCATGAACCTTGTCCACTCCATCAGAAACAGAGTCATAAATACATTACAACTGAGTAACAATAGTTTATACTGTTATTTCAAAAAAGAAAGTCAGAAAATAAACAGCATGTTTCTCCTTCTTATGGTCCTGAGAGATGCTGTGTTTCAGGGAGTCATGGGAGGGGCCAGTGGCTACATGGTATCTCTTCTCCACAAGCACCACCAGCATGTCCTCTACCTTCAGAAATCCAAACTTCTCTACAGAACTCCCCCTGAGCTGAGAGCTGCCCAGAGTGTCCTCCTTCTGATGCTCTGTTTTCTTTCCTTCTATTGGGCAGATTGTGTTGTCTCTTTATATTTATCTTTCTCTTTGAAGAATGACTCCTTCACAATGCATTTTCAAGAATTTCTGACCCTTGGTTATTCAGTTCTCAGCCCGTTTATCCTGATTCACAGGGAAGGACACCTGGCTGAATGTTGGCATGCTCAGTAAGATTGGAGAAGCCATGTTGCTTCAGAATAGGAGGTTTTAAATGGCTGTTAGTATTTTCTATACCTTGTATATGTTTTTTAATCAAGTAAGAAAAGCTTAAGCAGGTAAAGATAATCTCACATAGTACAGCTGGTGGTGAGCAGCCTATGTCTGATATGAAGATCAGATCAAAGAGAGAGGGACCCATGTATCTTCTCATTTACTCTCATATCAACCTTCCACATTCAATGTGAACTCTGCATAGATAGACAGAGGTCATTCAGAATGAACTCTGCATACATAGATGGAGGTCATTCAGAGGAAATCTGGATAGATAGATGGAGGTCATTTGGTGTGAACTATGTATAGATAGATGGAGGTCATTTGGTGTGAACTATATATAGACAGATGGGGGTCATTCAGTGTGAACTATGTGTAGATAGATGGAGGTCATTTGATGTGAATTCTGCATAGATAGATGGAGGTCATTTGATGTGAACTCTGCATAGATAGATGGAGGTCATTTGGTGTGAAATCTGCATAGATACATAGAGGTCATTTGGTGTGATTTCTGCATAGATAGATGGAAGACTTACTCCACTGAGCTTTAGATAGTGAAGATCAGCAGAGTGATGTGCCAGCATCTGCACAAATTACTGAAGTGAATCCCTTTGATTCAGGAACCCCATTTCTAGGAACTAATCCTTCAGATACAGGTGTTCACTGAAGAAATACAATTTACAAATTAACTACATCATTCCAAACACATTACCTAAATATCAAATGAGATGTGCATTTGTTAGCTACTTGAAAATATTCAGGGCTGGGGAGTAACTCAGTGTCAGGGTGACTTCCTCTATGGACAAGGCCCAGGCTCAACCTCCAGAACCAAAGCAAAGAGAACAACACAACAGGAAACATATCCCCAAGTTCCACACTGACAAGAGAATTATGGCATTGAGGACTGGTCGAGATGGCTCAGCAGGGAAAGGCACTTATCACTAAGACTGACACCTGAGCTTGACCCCAGGAATCACATGATTAAAGAAGTAAACTGACTCTCTTAAGCTGCCCTCTGACCTCTATATGTGCCATGGCACATGCATGCTCCCCTCCCACAAAAAAATGTATTTTAAAAATTTACAAGATTTTTTGGTGTGGATATTTATAAGATGGTAAATAAGCTCAAAATATATTGATATAGAATGAACTATTCAAGTGCATTTCAATATAATAAAATAAAAGCTTGAAAATAATGGAATATAGTCATATCTTTAATTAGATTTGCTCCATCATTTGCAAGAGTAAAAAAACTATAAGAATTATTACATTTGAGAAAAACTAGAATAACAGAAGTTTAATAAGTACTTCCTTTTACCTTTCTGAGTTATTTTGTTTTTAAAAACTATGAGGAAACTGAAGAGATAGGTCAGCAGTAAAGATCACATGCTGCTCTTGCAAAGGATCCATGTTTGATTCCCAGTACATCAAGTGGTTCATAACTGCATATAACTCCAGGTCCGGGGTAATCTGGCATCTCTGGACTTCTCTGGCACCTGTATTCATGTACACAGACACATACACATAACTACAAATAAAAATAAACATTTTGGTTATTGAAGTTTTTCTTTTTGTTTTTGAGACACAGTCTCATGTAATAACCCAAATTGGCCTCTTGCTTTAAGGCAGAGGCTGGCTGTCTTAATTAGGGTTTTATTGTTGTGAAGAGACTTCATGACCACAGCAACTCTCATAAAGGAAAACATTTCACTGGGGCTGGCTTACAGTTCAGGGGTTTAGTCCATTATCATCATGGTGGGAAGCATGGGGGCATGCAGGAAAACAGAGCACTAGAGAGGGAGCTGAGAGTTCAACATCTGGATCTGCAGGTAGCAGTAAGTGAATGTCACACTAGACCTGCTTGAGCATTTGAGATCTCAAAACCCGCCCTCTCGTGATGCACTTCCTCCAAAAGGCCACACCTTCTAGTAGTGCCACTCCCTATGAGTTAATGGGGGGCACATTTATTCAAACCACCACACTGACCTTGAACTCCTGATCTTTCAGCCTCAAACTTTCCAACTGCTGGGAATATGCACATACCATTAGAGGTATATGCCACTGTGCCTGGTTCAAATTTATGTTGGTGGCTGTGGTGACGATCGGAGAGATGTAGGAATGGTGCTGGTCAGTGCTCCTACTGACAGAAATAGCAAGTTAAACTGGTAGAAGGTGGGAAGAGCCTCGGTAGGGTCTTTCATGGTGGGAATTTCCCTGCTCTGTTGAGGACATGACAGGAAAGGAGCATGGAAGGGCTTCTGGCTTACTGTGAAGATTTAGGTGCGGTTTTATAGATATGTACTGTTTCTAAGAGTCACTGACTGCATTTAAGGTAAGTATAGTTTTCTTCCTTATGATCCAACAATCCCAACTACTGGATATACAGCCAAGGGAAATGAAATCAGAATGTTAGAGACACTTGCACTCCTATGTTTAGTCACAAAAGCATTCACTATGCACATGGGTTCAACCTAAGGGTCTGTCAATAGATCAATACATAAAACTGTCATATATATAAACTGAATGAAATATTATTCATCATCACAAAAAGAAAGTAATCCTAAGGGTCTAGATGGGAATAGGAAGTGAGAAGTAATAGAAGAGGAGAAAATTGGGAGAGGATCAACCAACACCTAGCAGGTATTAAAATGCCATAATGGAGCCAACTATTCTACATGCAGAAATAAAAACGTTGAAATACATAAAAAATAAACATCATCACCCAAATGGGAAGAAATTATAACATGAATAAAGGGCAAAACATCCAGTCCACAATAAAGGTGGCGATGGTGGAGAGAAATAAAAACAGACCTTAGCCGGGCAGTGGTGGTGCACGCCTTTAATCCCAGCACTCGGGAGGCAGAGCCAGGCGGATCTCTGTGAGTTTGAGGCCAGCCTGGGCTACAAAGCGAGTTCCAGGAAAGGCGCAAAGCTACACAGAGAAACCCTGTCTCGAAAAACCAAAAAAAAAAAAAAAAAAAAAAAAAAAAAAAAAAAAAAAAAAAAAAAGCAGACCTTAATAGCCTAAAAGGAAGGAGGAGGAGGAGGCATTCAAAACAGTACCAAGAGCCCAGAGGCTCCCACAGTCTCCTGGTGATTGTCCTAAACATGATCTTGACCGTAGCCCCTGCCTGTAGCACTAAATGATCCTTTGTTATTAATAAAGAATATGCTTGAAAATTATTCAGAAAGTGATCACTTTCGAGTATCAGATATTTCTTCTGAAGCAGCTCTTGGTTTAGGGGGTAAATGAATGGAAAGAGGAAAGAATGGATTTAAGTTCAAAGAGCCCAGACCCCTCATGCACTGTTCATCACCCACTCACAGGCACTGTAATTAGGATCAGAAAGTTTCTGGGTTCAGGAAATGACAGAGCACCAGGGAGAAGGCAGAGCGGGCCTCAGGGATGGAGATGTGCAGGAGGAGCCTTTTCCCCTGATGGAGCCAAACTCCTGATGGTGACATCTTGACACCTCTCTTGAGTTCAGGTCTCAGGTTGATAAACAGGGCCTGGCTGGTGCCGTGAGGACACCCACCCGAGCTGCTGCACAGACTGCATGGTGAGTGCCGCCACGTCACGGTGGGTGGAGCTGCCTTTGGTGTGGAAAGAAATCTGTGGAGGGCAGGGATGCAGGAGACAGGGATGTGGGCTCCCTGTCACTCTGGGAGAGGAAAGTGGCAGGATTCAGGGAGAAGATGGTCTATCATTTCCTACCTGCAATCCAGGATGGCTTCATCAGCCATGTGGACAGTGTGTGCGGCCCCTGGGCCAGAGCTGCTCATTACACAGGACAGGCAGAGCAGGAGACGGGGGCGCCTGCACTGCAGCCTGGAGGAGGAAGCTCTGGTTCCCACAGCTTCTGCACAATCTGTGTGTGTTTTCCTCCAAGCACTGGGAACTTCGATCTGAGCTGTGTGACCTCTAGTGACTACAGTGCTTGTGGATGGAGCACTCTTTCCTTCTTTACCAGGATCTCATTTCTTGTGAATTTCCCCTTCCCAGATCCAATGTAAACCATAGAATAAGAGAATTGTGGATAAAGCAGACGCGAGGCTGAATACTAACACTAATAACTGATTTTAGAAATGCATGCTGGGCACTTCCCTAGGCACTACACATGTTAGTTCATTGACTCTCTAAAATACACCTGTATTGCACAAAATACAATTTGCATATAAAAATATTTTTAAGGAAGCCAAATAATATTCTCAATATGATGAATATATATATGAATTGGGAAAGTCACAATTAAATCCACAGTGGGTGGTCACAAAGCAGGTTCTTGTGAATCCTGAACTTTCTATTTCTAAAGTTTTGAAATTCCTCCAGTTTCTAGAATATGTGTAAGCCTCCACCACATCATTGCAGCAAAATCCCTCACTTAACTGGCCGCACACAGACTGCATTGATTGATTCCAGCATGGTGGAGGTAAGGAGCCTGTGAAAGCTTATTAAATTGTGCATATGTGGGCTGAAGAGCTGGCTGCCTGGTTAAGAGCACTGGCTTCGCTTACAGAGTTCCCTGATTCAATTCTCAGCACCCACATGGCAGTTAACAACCATGTGCCACTCCAGTTTCAGGGTATCCAATGCTTATTCTGGCCTCTGCAAGCACCAGGCACACGTGTGGTATCCAGACATACATGCAGGAAAAACGCCCAATACACAAAAATGACTAAAATTAAAAAGATATAACGTAAAATATAAATTTCTCTCTGACAGTTCCTTGAGTAGATGTTTTTGCAGTCCAGGAGTGACAAAAATTCAGAAAAAAAAAATTCAGTAAGCAATTCAACATGTATTATTGATATCTCCAAAAACCAAGAGATACATCTGTAAAAATACAAGGTAACTGATGTACTAAAGCATCTCTTGGGGTTTCCTAGCACAGAGGGGTTGATAAAAACAGACTAACAGACAGCACAGTCCAGAGGATTCAGGGAAATTGTAGGAGACACAT